CTCATAAATTTTGCCCAAAATGTAAAGATCGCATATTTCGTCGAAATTCCATCGTGAGTGCTTATGCAACACGCTGATTAAACCTTTTCACGTCCTTAATGGATCTTATTGTGTTAGATTTCGTAGTTTGAGTTCTAGCCACCGAAATAGCTTCGATATTCAACTGAGCAGCTGCATACGCAAGTACCATATTCAATACAATGAAAGTCTTTGGGCGAAGCGAACACAATATCCGCCATGCGAGTGTCATACAAGCACTCACGGTGGATTTTCGACGAAATATGCGATCTTTACATTTTGGGCAAAATTTATGAGGATGTGTTTTTGTAGGCTCGTAACTCGGCAATTTTTGTAGAATGGAGACTGAGGTATGCACCATTCAATGGAACGGTCCCTACTAACTTTGACTTGGACAAGTAAGCAAGCAAGTTTTTTGACAGATACGCGAGAAGTGTGGGCAAAGTTACGCACTTTCGTGATTCAGTTACAGTCCCTCACCGTATCTCACCAAGAAGGCCCTGTAACCTCAAAGACCTTGATTTTCGTAAAGAGCGTGCTCGAAAACCTCTATAAGCGAAGTTTCCATACAATCTAGGAGCATGAACATTTTGACCAAAATCCATCGGTCAGCTTCAGAGCGTAAACCGAGAAAAAATGAAATTACTCGAACATTTTGGAAAACTTGCTCATAAGGGTTATCCGACCTGCTGATTACGAAAATCACATCTCCTTAGCACGAGAGCTTCAAATTTTAAAGTTACGTTGAGAAAAATTTAGAACGACATGATTTTTCCAGAATTCACCAGCCCTTCTAACTCCTTCAAAAGAAGTGTGCGGCTAATTTCTAGCGCACCATAATCTACAGAAAAAGTACTATCGAAAATTTCTCTCTGAATCTATTGGGGGGCAATACGCGTTGCTTCACACCTTTGCGAAGAGACGTCCGCAGAAAGTTTTAAGAAAAATGAAATCGAGATATCAAGGACATTCTGCATACCGAAAGATTCGCCTTGACGAGCTGAACACAACGCTGCTTTCGGATTTAGAATATATTCATTTCGAAGAAAGTTACGGCCTGCACAATTTGCGATATTCCCGAATCGCCAGATTTCTGGAATTTCGCGAAATTCCCGTTCTGTGGGTGGTATTGTACATTGCATAGCACGCGCGGCATTTCGTGATATGTGCTTCTCATGCTATTTCCAACCATTTCCCTTTGTCTTCCTGCATTTTGGGCCCCGTCATACTTCGCCGAGAAAAGCCCAGTTTCACACAAATCCATGCAGAATGAACTCTTAAACTACACCTGCCCTGTTTCTGCAGTGCTCAACAGAATGCGTATGTAGCCTCTGGAATCAGCACACTGAATGATCCATCTACACTAAAATTTCAGGAGAAAAACTTATATCCCACAACTAGGCACATCTGTATACTGTAAGATGCGCCTCGCCGAGCTGAGTTGACTGGTACTCTTATATATACAATTCATGAATTTGAATCAAGATAAGGTCTTTTTTATAAAAAAAAAGTTAGGCGTTGCGCGGCAAAGTTAGGCGGCAAATGCCGCTTTTCCGCCGACTTTTGTCGCGCGACGCGGCGTCCGTCACCTAACTGCGGCGGCGCCGCGTGAGTTAAGTGCCGCCGCCATTTTTTTTCACAAATTACGGGTGGTATTGTAGTTGGATTTAGAGGACTTATCTCGCGGTTTCGGTGCTAAAAAGACAGGAAAAGTGTGATTGCAGTAGTAAACACAGCCCAATCTTTGTAAGATGACGTTTGCGTGGCCGAAACAAATGCTTGTCGTTGCAACTTTTCCAGCCAAACAGAATCTTACAAGCTTGTATCATTCATTCTATGACCAGGAGACGCGCGACCGCATTGCACACATTGTCTAAACAAGACTAATCATGTACTTAGCAGGTTCACACTTGTCATTTATCTCGTCCAGGTTCAATCACTCTTTGAAAACAGGGAAGAACAAACTTAAACTTGTTAAGACAATGTCCGCAATGCAGTTTCGCGTCTCTTGTCCTAGAATAGATGGTACATACTTTGTGCTTAGCTTCTCGTAGTGCAGCTTGTACTTTGTGCTTAGTTTATCGTTAGTAGCATCTACAAAGGCTGAGTATTGAGGCTCGAATTTGTGCCCAAGTTTACAGTAGGGTTGGAACTTGTTCAAAAAAAGTACAAGTACGCAGGCTTTACAAAGCGTCAAACTAATTAACTATCAAAAATGCTTGAACTATCTCACAGCCTTGGTAGAATCTAACTAGAGTTCTTAGACCACAGAAAAGCGAACGTTTGCGGAGCAGACTATCTTCAAAAGCATTTTGAGTTACGTTTAGACAGTAACGCTTCTCTCTCTGAACTGTGCTGAGTTTGGTGTGTTATATATAAGGTTTTTTATAGTGACTTTACAATGAATTCTGACTTGGATGATTGCAGTTTTGAGTGATAAAAGGAGATTTTCTTCTAATGTTTGTATTAGTAGGAACTGCTGTAAGTTCGCATTCGGCCCAAAAAACATTCCTGAGGGTGCCTTCATACCGCACCGACAGCCGCCACTAGCCGCTTTTGCGCATTATTCCAGTGTTCCAATGCCTTTCCAAAAAGTTAAAAGATTAGGCTATTTGTGATTAATATGCCGGGTATCCCCACTGTACCGAGGTTGAGCAGGATTTGTGGTTTCGATATTGGGATCCGGAACGGAATAGTGTTCAAAGGCGGCTAGCGGCGCTGCCGGCGCGGTGTGAAGGTACCTTAAAATTGTCACCGATTTTCATTGTTGTGCGGCGTATGTCATTTCCGCTTATGCTCTTTCACGTAGTACCAGTCGTTTTATTAAGAGTGAGATTACTATTATGGATTAAGAGTGGGTAGCGTTTTGTTATTAGCTAAAGATGCAGCTAAAATGCTGGAAGTCGTTGTTCAATTCCTTTGAAATGTCATCCGTTTTTCATTTCTGTAAGTTTTGATGACAAAGTGCGAACCTGTCAGCATCGACTTAGAATGTCGATTTCTGTAATACCAGCAATAAAATCACACTGTCAACAGTGAGCACTCTCTTGCCAGAGAAATAAGTGTTTTTGCACTTTTAGCGGAATATTTTACTCGCGTATGCACTAAAGAATTCATGAACACACACGGACAAAGACACAAAATGTTAGCAGCAGAACACAAGTTTTTTTTTTTCAGTAAAAGTGACACTGCTGACAATGTGAATTTCTTACATCATTTTCAAGGAAATGCAAAATAAACGGCAATCTAAGGAATCGAACTACGACGTCCAGCTCCACAGTCTAAGGCAATATTATCCATTGCATCAATGGGCCACTTACCTTGCTTGGCGGCTCCGGTATTCCTCTGTAAATCTTTCAGTGTGACCACATTGCAGGAATGCAAATTAGATTTCACCGTCTGGAGACGGTATAAGCGATATACATCGCCTACGAAATCGTCACTTGGGATCATTCCTGTAAGATGTAATACATCGTTCTGGGGTAAACATAACATAGAGGCCCTGTCACGCACAATGAGCATAATTCTCGTGATGAACATGTCAAGCAACCCCTATAGAGTGATTTTATAGAATTTTCTTTGCTTTCTACTTTTAATGGTAGGCCACTCAAGTGAAAGGTCATCTTGGAACATGGTCAACTTACCCTAATTTCACGATTATAGGAAGCGGGGGATTTCTCTTCCAAAATCGAACAGCACGGACAAGCCGAAGGATTTCGCGACCAAATAAGCATATACACTGCTGCATATTGCCTGAGAGTATTATGCGGCGTAAGTCTCGTTTCTTGAAGTAGAACGAGACGCTGAGCGGTTCGCTTAAAAAGTCTCAAAAAAGGTGCATCTTATACTCGTGAAATTGGGGTAGTGCAGTAAGTCAACTGCGTCTTTTGCACTAAATACACTGCTCCATCTTAGTCTTTAGAAAACCATGCTCTCAGTGTACTCGTATTTTTCATAGGGGGGCTATCCGATATACTGTTCAAAGGAAATATAAAACTAGGGAAAAATAAAAAAATTTTGAAAAAAAAGGAGAACCTGTCTACTTTTTAGCAACGATTTCAGAATGGTCTAGATTTCGAGTCATTTGATAAATCAGAATCATTAGCGCCTCAAAACAGGATCTTTCTAAATTTACTCAGACATGGGTTACGAAAATGGGCAAGTAACTTGCTTATACTTGTACATGAGAAAATTTTCGGGAATTCCCTCTAGTTCTAAAATTTCATGGTCATGGGTCAACAAGTTTTGAAAAGTATTCCAAAAATTATTCGGAATGCATGGTTAATGGCACGCGCTTTTATTTAGATGATTTGAGTCCCCACCATTCCCGAACGGAAATCCTTGGATCGCTACTGCTTCCCAGAGTATTAAAATCTCTCAGCCAATAGTCGAAAAAATGATTGTCTTGCTTTGAACTTTCCAACATTGAATGAAGGGATCGCGTCGTAGTTGAATTAACATCTTTATGCTTTTGGGAATTAACGAATAAAGGGTTAGAATTCGAGATGCACAAACTTGAATATCTTTTGAGATTCAAGAAGAAAGCTTCGGAATTTCTCATACATGAGCTTCTGATTGTGTGTGTTGCTCCAAACTATTCTATACTACATAATTTAGTATCAATATGAGTTTGCTTTTGGTCATAAGTTTCGTAAGACGGAGTTGAGCAGCTTTCTGATAGTGAAGCATGTGCCTTATCTTACATTCCAACAGACATGAAACTTGAAATAATTGTACAACATTCTTTGTCTTTTCAGGCCGATTTAGGCCAGCAGATTATTTTGTGACAACGCTGGTCTTATGCCATAAAGCATTTGTTTGCAAAAAACTATCTTATCGTTCGCATCAAAATTTTGTAAAAAAGAGCGTGCGTGCGGAGCAAACTTTGGTTTTTTCCAAGCTGGACTGGAGAACTGCATGACTAATTCGGAATACCACACACAGTCATCCAAAGCAAACAGCTTTATAAGGCGTAAGGCAACATGCGAAACGCATTTGAGCAAATGACATCGTACGGAATCTTCGCTGTGCTTTTCGTCTCAGTAGGGGTTGCAACTGCTATTATCAACTGTTACAGCGGTAAGTTACATTTTAAATAGTAGGTCATTTCAAATTCGTTTTTTGTTTTGCATCATTTTTTTAGGAAACCATAACTCTCTGTTAACTGCATGGGTTTGCCCATAATAAATTTTGTTTGGATGAGGAAATCGTGTAATTTTTAAATATAGGTCGAACGCCTTCTGTAAAAAAACAAGTGCCAGAGGTTGAAATGCGAAGAGAAGGACGCTCGAATTTTGGGAGTTATAAGCAAGCTCACCAAAAATCCGAAAAAGCTACAAAAAATGGTGAAAAAAAACAAGAATATGTGTTTCATCATCTCCCCTATCTAGTTAAGCTAATTCTTTAACGCTGAAATAATGTCCTTATGAAAAGTTATGGTTTTTGAAGGAAAGGCCCCCAGTGTTCACGAAAATCTGCTCTCGATCGGCCCGAATTTTGCTTCGCTAAAAAGAGGAGGTCATAATCTATATTTGTGATTTCGGCTCTCGCTGTGACGTTTTTTAGATTTTTTTAGCATGCTCAGAAAGTGCAAAATCAAAATAATTTTCTTCATTTGTTTCTAACTTTCGAACTATCTCGTACTAATTCATGTGGAAGGTGTCACTGTAATGTGGCAAAATTTCTCTTTTCAAAAAATACTTCCAGAATTTTTCGTGAACTTGCTTGAAAAATGCTAATCTTGAGTAATTTCCTTCAATGCTTCTAACTCTCGAATATTCTCATATAAATTAATGGTAGAGGCACAGCTGTGGAAAGCATGGATTCATCCCTTAAATAAATAGAGCTTTGATGAAATTCGTTGAGAAGAATGGAGGTTATGATTTTCTGAAAAACTGGTGAATAAACCTTTGAAATGACCTAATAGAATCGCCCTTATCCCATTGAATCAAGTGTAAATTTTTGCCAAGACGTGATCAACGCTCTGTTTACGATTTAAAAACTCACTATAGTTGATGAGGCAAACCCTTTCTTTTCTTTGGAAGAGCCAATCTGAGGTGGAGCAAAAAATGCTTCAATATTTTGCTTGAGATATCGACCATTTTTTTGCTCAGATACAAATTCAAATATTACCGAAACTAATCCTAAAAAGAATTGTCATTCTAGGACATCAAAGTGCTTCCATCAATTCGCTTTCTCGAACTTACGGTCTGCCTTATTTGGGGCTAGATGTCGTCGAAAGTGGGAGTGTCCCGCGCGTACAATACAGCAGATACTGAGCCTGTGCATGTAGAGTATGTTAATTTTTGCAGATGCGCGGCGGGACCTCCCACTTTCGGCGACATTTAGCTACCCCTTTATTTGCCAAAAATTTTCTAGCGTGCCCTTGCGACTTGCGAGCATGCTCCTTATACAGAAATGTTCGCCGCCGACAATTACGCAAAGATTGTGTGAGTGCACATATGGGATCATAATAATCAATTTTGTTAAGGGAGTAATTCTGATGGAAGCCGACCGAAAGATACACAGCCTTGTGACAGTCAGTATTGTACAAGGTACGTTTTGTATCATAGAGGAATGAATTACAGACTAGAGCAAGAAGTTAGTAAAATTACTATAGCTTATATAAGTGCAAAAACTAACATGCCCTAATGTTAAAGTTTTTGAGAAATTCCATCAACGGTATAAATATGCTTATTTTGAGGATTTTTGTGAAACTCAATGGAGTCAATACCTACAATTATGGATGTGATCAAACACAGTTGTGCAAGGTGAGATAATAATTTTCTTGAGAGCCAAAAGTAAGGTACAGTTCTGGTAATTTTCCAAAATCACTCTACATAAGCAAAATTCCCATGGTAACATGCTTAAGCAGAATCTCTTTCGTAGATCCTATGATGACTGTCATCCTGCCACGACTCGGGATAAAAATTCACACCTTTGAGCTCAGATGGACATGTTTTTTGAAATCATTTTTGGTGAAGTACGAGAGCAATTGGAAAGATTTCAAAGCTTCCCAGTTATTTTTATAAAGCGAAACATCAAAACACTTTTTAGAACATCTTCGCTTTCACCTATCATTCAAAATTATCACTCCTTTCAAATCTTTCCGCCATTCGAATTTAGTCGAGAAAGAATATAAATGGTGGTTTGAAGTACCTGGCTTCCGCTTGTTACGCACGGAAAAGTACCCATTTTTCTATATGTGAACGTCGTTTTCAACTGCGAATTTCTTTTTCGACTGATTTCCCTAGAACACACATGATGCAACGCTAAAATAACAATTTAATCCAGTATTCTACTTGATTGCAGCCAGAAACTCATAAAACTTTGCTATTTTGTGGAGCCCTGAAATGGATGTAGCAGTGGTTGAAAATAGCTATAGTGCCTCATATTTTTGAAACTTCTTTTTCTCCAAACCAATAAAAATTGAAAAACTTTTGAAAGATGTCGCGTTCGTACGCAACAACCGTGACAAGCTCTAAAATGATTCATCGGCAAAAGCAAACACAGACTTTTTTGGGCTGCTTTTATAGTCATAGCCCAAGATTGTTCAGCAAGAAATGCAAATTCGAGGGGAGATACAATACGGAAAAGGATGATTTTATAGACACAATAAATCCAAAAAATTCAACGATGAAGCTAAAAGTTCTATTTTTTAAATTTTAGAGCGAAGGAAGGTTTGTACCTTACGGAGACTCCGAGGTCTACTGCTGTTCTTGGGATCTGTGCAACTCTTCTTCGAAGTTCTCAGCCTTGTTCGCCCTCTTCATATTTGCTTGCTTCAGCCTCTCTTGAAATAAATCTCTGTTTTAAATTTTGCTTGATAGTGTTCTTTTGATTAGATTTGAGTGTAAAGAGTTTTGTTTCACCGAATTTTTGCCACCTTTTTGATCCGAAAGTCCTTTAACACATTCACGACAATACGGACTTGTGGATCGTACGTGCGCTGCCATTTCGGGCAATACGACCCGCTGATGGGTCGTAAGATTACGGAAGCTCTAGCATCGCCACTTCACGATGGAACTCTACGGGTTTTTGGCACATGATGAGGACACCTAGACGAAGTTCCAGCCAGAGTGGTCCGGGCTCGGGATACTGTAATATGATGTTGCGGTTGTTAACCGTAAATCAAGATGAGACACAGTTTTTTGCGTTATTTATCCAAGGAAGCTCAAATTTTACACACATAGGTTTTGTAGCATGCCGATTACGAAAATGATAGTCTCAATCTCTCATGAAAATGCGAAACTAAAATAATCTTATTTTTCTAAGAAAAACGTTGAAGTTGCATTTTTTAGCAAAGAGATACATCTGCCAATTAAACATCACATTGCTTCAGGTGACCAGTATGTCAAATTTTTGGTTTTGTGACGTGTTTTTGTAAGGAGAAAATGCATTACTGAAGGAATTTATTCTGCAAAAGGGCTCTTTAAAAAATTTTTGCCTCTACATTTCTATGCGAGACTAGAGCTTGCCACAGTGACATATGGATTGCCTATGTTATGAAAAAACTCTTACGAACCTTTTGAAAATAGCTAGACAATAACTAATATTTTTAGGACTAAACTCGAAATTTTTCATTTTTAAATTTTTCAAAATTTTCAATTGCCGTACCTATAAGCTTATTTCTCCAAGAGTCGTTGGAAAGTCACTTTTAGGCCGCTATCATGAAGCGCCAGGCCTCTCCTATTCTTTGGAGACAAAAGCCTCGATCAAGGTTCTGATCGAACAAATTATTGAATTTTTTGGCTAATCAAGAGCTTTAGCATCAACTTAGTGCACAGAACTGGCACGAGAAAAACAAAAATCAAGTGTCATATTTTCATTTTATCGTTCTAAATCTTTGCATCAAATTCTATTTATTGTCCACAAGCCCTCTGCAAAAGCGAAGTACTTCATCACAAAGAGCAGGGCTCAGCACGAGGTAGCTTTCCGGAAATGTAAAGAACGAAGTCCCCTTTTACTTTTCAAAAATTTGCGAAGCCCCCTCTAACCCTTAACCCCAAACGTAAAAAACCCTCAAAAAACAAAACGCCGAACAAAAAACTTTTGTGTCTTCTTGGCCGCAGTTACGATACCCCCTTTGCTTTTATCCCAAAAACAGTACCCAGCTTGTTTGCAAGCCACCTCTGCCGAGCCCTGACAAACAGTAGTAATATCTCAAGCCATTTATAAATTTTCTGTGCAAGGAACAGTGAACACTTACCTTGAGGCAAAGGCAAAAGGTGCAGTATTTTTGACGCATTTCTAATTTAGACTAAAGAGTTGCAACTCGCTATTTGGCAAGGTGTTAAAGCATTGGCACTTATTCAAAAAAAATTTTGACGCTTTTATGGGTAAAACTGTATGTTTAATCATTTGAGATGTCGAGTAGAGAATAAATTAATGGTCTGAATAGATCTAGCAGAACTTTGTCAATACTCCAGGATCATGAAAACAAATGTTTATAATGTTTATAATAGTGAAAAGTTTAATGCCCACTCTGTGCGGAGCACGGTGCTGTAGGAAATGGCTTCTTTGTTCTGGAAAAAATATTGGTGCAAAGTTTTACAAAGGTTGCCTGTTCTTGAAGTCAGCGTTTACCCAAAAATTCGCCTCGCATGTTTTTGTTGTTCTGGGGTCTTTCCGTGGCCCTGACTACATTACAAAGTTCAAATTTCTGGAGAACTGTCTGGAGGGCGCGAACGGAGTTTCTTTTCGTACATGGGTGGGCGGAGCCTGATAGGATCCGGGCGGGGCTTGGTAGCACTTTGAATATTACAGGCACCTAACTTCCATTCAGAGACAACATTAGAGGACAACAACAACGCAGATGCCCCTCTCCTGGAGCCTACACTTCGGTATTGACATTAATCGGAGGGGTTGAGATATAGCTTCTACACTGCCTTCAACGCTGACAAGATTTGACATATGCAATAAAAGTTCAGAGTAACTCCGTTTGCATTTTGAGTGCTTCTAACCGGTCACGGTAATGTTTTTATTGAAGAGGTCTAAGTCAATTTTGAATGGATGGAAGATCAATGCAATGGTAAAGCGTTGCTTGTATGATTATAGGTCGGATTTGAAATTTTGTGGGAATGACTGACACTAAATCAACTCGAATTTCGTTAGCTGTACTTATAAGCAGCATATGTGCCCTTGGCTGCGTGCATCTGTTCATTCACAGTAAGTGTTGTTCACTCACGTAAAAGTTATTTTGTGATGAATGCGAAGTTGTATTTGAACATTTGCTAACTATTCCAGCACACATGGAACATATGAGAAAAAGCGGGTTCAATTATTGCTTCTCAAAAATTCAGCGTGAATTGGAAAAATTTCTTCTTCTGCTCTAGAAACTATAGCAATGATGTGAATGGCTGTGCCCAAATTTTCAGGTTTGAGTGAAATGTGTCATTGGGGGCCTTAGGAAATGCCCTTTGGAAAGCCGCGGTATCGATGCTGTTGCTGTTTCCGACCTTCGCGTGCTTGGCTGTAAAAGCACATATTAGGTTGTTCCGAAAGTTTTGCCCGTTTTTTCAAACTACTATAAAACCACGCACAGTAAAGATCTGAGTGAGAATCAACATGCATTCGATGCAGCTTTTGGTTCTCTTTCTTAGGGATACATTTTCGATCCATAATCTTTTATGATTTTTTTGATAACTGCCAAAATTCTCCACTCGTCAATTTTTTCTATTCAAAGTTGGGCTAATTTTTAAAAGTTTTATTCCAAAGTTCCGGGAAAGGCTAAGTATAGATCAAACAGAGCAATTCTCGGGCTACAAGAGTTTGTTTTCATATTTTCCTAGTCTGCTGTTTTAAGCTTTAGAAAATTATTTTTTTTCGGAGGTCTCGTTTTTTGATCAAGCCGTGAAACACGCAACTGCTGCAGATACATGAAAGCTTTTGAAGTTTCTGCGAATTGAAATATGATTCTTATTAAACATTATTTATGCAACATAATCAAGTTCGATTTGCTTTTTGGGATTTCGTTACTTTCACGCGGTAAACGTTATCAAAAAGCCGCGGTTTTTATTACATAAATAATTATAACGGAGTTGGTAAACATGATCAGTAATCTAAAATAAGTACAATGCAGCCAAAGGTTTGCTCTACATAGCATTTACCAGCGCTATGTGAAAACTCAGGATAAAGATTTTTGAGATTCAGGAAAGATTTGACTTAACCGCTAAGCTGCTCAAAAATCCAAGGCGATAAGATTGCAAAGGCAGGGTAGATCAGAGAGCAAATATAGCTGTAAGAAAGAGGATAAAAATCTGAATTAAATGATATCTAAGTCATCCGTGAATTGGTGTTCTGCGAGTTTTAGTGAGCGATGAAAAAAATGGAGAAAACTTTCGGGACAACCTAATACAAGCGCAAGTTGATTACCAAAGACAAAAAAAATTACCACTTGGGGTACGTTTACTTGCGCACCATATCTCTCTTGAAACTCGAAAGTGCAACTCTTTCTCAGCAAAATTCTCTTTTAACACATTGACGACCGCTTGACACACATGGTGTGTCAAGGCTTGACGCAAAATGTGTATCGTTGAAATAGCTGCTATTTTGTGTTAAACCCAATCCGGGAGTTTTCTTTAGTGCTGTACCTAGACACAACCTCTCCTGTTTTTGCCAGCACTCCAGAGTTACTGTAGGTGTACTGTAGATGGAAATGTGCGTGACTTCATCTAAAAAATGATGACCGGTCCGTGAAACGCCTGGTCGTCAATGTGTTAAACCTAATGCTATGGTCTAATTACTGGTATTTGCTGGAAACTCTTTATGTTGAAAAATTTAATTTTAAATCTCAAAACCATTAAACAATACACTACTTCTCGCGAGTGATACAGGGAAGCAAATTAATCCTTCCTTCATAATTTTTAAGCCTTAAGGTAGTCCTATCCGTTACATCCGCATAGTCATTCCAGTTACATAATTCCAACTGCCATACGGAGTAATTTTTTGTGATTTTTAACATATTGTCAGGTGCTCAGAATGCGTTAGTTTCGAGATCGATGGGGAGATTCTTCAAAAATTTGTAACAAAGCCGCAATTCCAGCTAACTCGTTTTGAATGCCGTTTTTGAAAGCTGCTATGTCGGTGCTGTACATGGGCTTAACCTCAAAAAGCTGACATGCAGACAGCACCGAAATTGCGCAGAAAAGATTGCTTACAAATCGATGTAATCTCATTGTCAGGCTTTTTGTAAATTTAATTCGGCGCGGTCAACTTATAGATCGTTTATAAAACCGTGGCGATGGATTTGACTACGGTCTTTGTGCCCACAGCAGCAAAAAATACTCGTACAAAGAGGCATCACCTCAACTTTCAGCATAGTCGTTTCTAGTGTCTTCATATTTGAGCAAAAAAATTATTCGAGTAGAAGTGAAAGACAAGAAAATGCGGCTGCCGAGGTGCGTGCGTGTCGCGCGCGGGCGCGCCATCGTCACGACTCTTTAAATGCCCTATGATCAAGTGCAAAGTAATTGAACCTTATCCCAAATTGTTTGCAAGCATCAGCTGTGCGCTACTTCTCGACAAGAGCTTCCTGATGTGTCCTTGACTTTGCTGTTGGATTCGACCTTGAATTCTTAACGTTAGAAAAAGTGCAGCACGATTCAATAAGCTTTGCGCAAGTAAATCGTATGAGCCATTTTGCCATCTTTCATCAAATCATCGTCAGTGTGCAAAGAGCATTACTTTCATTCGCTGAAATGCAAATCGAAAAGGTCTAACGAAATTACTCAAATGGCAATGAGTCAAAACAGTAAATTATCTTCTCAGAAAAAATCTAATCAATTCTTACAAATGAGTAAAACTAGGATTGCATATACAGGGTGTCCCAAAAAA